CGTAAGAATTCTGCGACTCCCGACTTTCATAGAAACTGTAACATGAGGATCTGTGCTTTTTGTCGTAACACTCAACACCCTCAATTAAATTTTGCGAATGCCAGCCTTAGTCAGTTTGTTGGACAAACCTTACTGAACCCTGACCTGTCGCAGGCATGTGGAAAAAGATTTCTGTAATTAATCGACGCCTAGACATTGTCCAGCAGTTTGCAGAATCACAAATGAAAACGAAAAAGAAATAACGATCGACCAATCAAATAAACGAATTCTCGAAAGTGGCAGACGTAATAAATTTCATGCTCTCAGCAATCTTTCGAAAACGCAACAAGTATCTATTTGTCTACGACCCGTTTGGGATATCAGCAAGGAAAAGAACCAATTTCGAGCATCATACTTTTTCACACAATAATCTCTCATCTCTCAAAATTTCGCAAACACAATTATATGTTATGTGTTATAAAGTTGAATTGTCATCAGATTTGCAGTAAGCTCGAAAATACTCTTGTAAAGTTTATATCATTCCAATTTGCGGGAACAATGCAGATTATCCGCATGCTCAAACGAAAACAAAAGGCTAGTTTCATAAAATTTCAATATTTTTCCAACACTAGAACAAGAAATGTTTAAGAGTTCTCTTATCTTCTTATTCAAATAACTGTCTGTAGAAATACTAGTCATTCGCCTTCACCAAGATTTTTTGGTATCTTGCTGATTAGCAGACTAAAAAAAAGTTATTTAATCGGTCGCAATAACATGTGCATTTGTCTCATAATCGGTCTTAATCGCTCCGTAATAGTAACCGTTCGTTTCCACGCTCGTTTCTCGGATACTGCTAAACAATGCAACTACTTTAGACTACGTAAAATTAGTCTTTTCCCAGAAAGCTCTTAGTAATTGCTTTCATGCACAAGTTTTCAAAGTATAAATGCTTTTTTCGCAAGTTTACAAAAAAACAAACGCAAATTCATGTGACTCTACAGATTACGTGTAGCAATTTTATTCCAAGCTGCTATTTCTTTGTTTCGCTGTTCGTCCATATGTCTTGATTTCCAGTACCTTTCACAAACGTGCCCATTTGTTTCCATCATTGCAAGTGTGGTACATAATGATGGGAGTCTTAAATGTCCTATATTAAATTTAAGTAGCAATAGAGCTCCTTTTTTATAGAAACAAGAGTTCTGTACAAATAAATGCTGGACGTGCTGCTGTCAAAAATTTATTTATTATGAAATCAGTTGTATCATAATTGCTTTATTTTAATGTAATGTTTCTCCAATTGAAAGTATGGCCTCATTGAGTGTGGTCTGAAATGTTCAAACTTTTGTTTAAATATATTACCTATATTAATGCGTCTCATATTTGTCGTTGGTATTAATACTGGATACAAGACAATTCGTTGTGAATATTTCTCGCAAATATTGATTAGACAAAAGAGGCCCTATTACACAAATTATTATACCACCGAAAGAGATTCATGCAATTATCAATCGAAATACAATAAACAGCTGATGAAACGGCAAAGCATATACGGGCTATCATAAACGCCAGTCTGTATAACAAGATTATTCTAAACAGAGTTTACTATTACTGTTATCAAGTCGATTGCTAACGACTCTTCTTATCAGCGAGATTAGAGGAATATCTTATAGGCAGGGGTTGGTAACAATAGCCGCCGTATTCGCCAACTCCATCGGAGAGAACAGCGTCAATGCGTGTTTAAGCACTTGTATTAGCGCATCAAAGGGACTATTCTACTATCGATACAAAGAGCTCAAACGAGATGCCCGATACTGTTTGCTAATTGCATATCTTAGCGATTGTTTCGCTAGCTTTGATCTATATCATCGATTAATAATTAACTATCTGATAATTTCAAAAACAATCACTCTTGCGAATCGCTGCGTTAAGACTGTTGATTTTTAGGATTGGTGTTCATAAAAATGGAATATATGTTTCACGTACATCGTTCCTTATTCAACGTTTATCAAATACTGACGCTTTCGAAAATTTTTAAACAAAAAACTTTTTACATGCGTTCGAGCGAATTAAACGTTTTATACCCGCTCTCAATTCTTATCATAACCATACAAAACAGATGCTAGACAATAAATGGAGTTAAACTTGGGGGGCGAACTCTTGGCGTTATGCGTTACACAAATGTATCTAACCAATTATGTAGATAAATTACTTAAAATCAAGGAAATAAACCGCAGTTCTGCACGCCAAAGTTAGACCATTTTCATGTAAACATTTGTGACACATAAAAATGATGAAACACATATTAATATAGTAGCATTAATAGTAAATCGTTTCCACACAGGATATATCAAGAATCTTTTTTCCCTGAACAATGGAATAAGAGGCAATAATTATTACTTTATGTATGACAACCAATCGGCGCCAATGTCTTGTTTATATTAAGTCATCCAAGTATAAATACACTGTAAGATCTCGGGGCAAGGCATAGAACGATTTCCTCGACTGAGCTTGGGTCTTAGTCCGTAACAAAATTTCACGTTCTTTGCAGAAGAAAATCAATTCAACTTGGTCTTGTCGACTTTCCTCTTAACATATCAAATCCGCATCTATCCTAAAAACCAAAAGACGTCTTCTTACTCCAACAAAAATGACCAAGCTTCTTCGCTTAACTCTTATTGCCCTCGCCGTCATTGCGCTTGCGAATGCCATTGCGTCGATGCCACTCTTGCTCAATGAAAGGTGAATGTTTAAATCGAGATAGAGAGAAGGATAGAGAGAGGGAGGAGGAATTCAACACCTCGAGTAACTTGATGAACCTGTTACTGCTAATGCTGATATTGTTTACCTCGCACTCATCAAAAAAATTTTCAATTTCTAAATGTTGAAGAAGAAGGTACTTACCATTCAACGGTATGAATGATGACCGCCATGTAATCAATTGCGATAGTCAATCATGCATTTATCCCCTTGGTGGTGGTCACAAAGGTGGAAGCAACAACGGTCAACCTATCCCTGATGAGAACGAATAGTCGGTTTATTGTACATTCATATTAGATAGCAACTTGGGCTATGAATCACCACGTATTACTAATGAGTTGAGTAATATTTATATTTAGTAATACACTTTCTTCAAAAATGGTGGTTTGGCAGTTGCAATAAACTTCTACTTGAGCGTGAATAAAAACAGTGTTGTCCACTGAACAAAAACATTCGTATAGTAGCTATGACTTTCTACTGAGCACATTTTACCAGGATTTGGTTACTCCATTTACCTAGACTTTCCAAAACTTAGTAACATGGTTGGATCTAAATTGAATTCGACGACACAATTTCACTAAACGAGTTCGTCCAGCAACTCCCCCTAAATGCACGCGGATAGTTGAGAGCGTGAATTTAGGAGTTTGAGGATTGGTAAAATTACGTGATAACGTTAATATAACGATGCTAATACTTTTATTGCAATTTGTCATTATTAGTTTTTTCACGTAATAACCATTACATAAAATACTGATCTATGCTTGTCTGTCGAATCATATTGACTTTTCTTTCCCTAACATACTGTACCTTTCAAGAAAACGGGGTACATTTGTTTATAAAGAAAAGGCTGAGCTAGTTTTCTGGCAAATCAGATATTAAAGTTCCTTTATTTTAATTTTTCAAACAACTTTAAATTATCTCATCACATTGTAGTCGTCAGAAAACAGTACATGACTTCTCATTACCACCATTTCTTTTGAGTTACACCTCGAATACGTAAGGTAACTTTAATACTGACAGAATCGGGAGGAAATTTATACCCAAAATAAACTTTCAAACATTCCATGTAACTTTTTGTTTGAACAAGACATTAATATTGACGCAGGAGACATTTCCGATAATTGTGTAATGTACTTAATAAACATCCAACAGATCAGACATAGTATTGACAGTAAACAAAAACTTTCGCTTATTATTAAATCCAAATTGCAAACATATTACGGGCGTACACGTTGAAAGATTATGCATAATTTCAATCTACTGTACCGGAAATAATTGTATGGATTTTTAGCCAATGATCAAATCAAGTGTACGAAAATCAGATACGGTGTTTCTGAAAACTTATTACGAATAAATTAGTAATAATGATCGATAATTATTATATCCTCAACAAAAATTGTAGTATATCTGGGATGGTAAATTACTATCAAAGGTGGATGAATACATAGATGAAGCAATTTTTTCACTGACAATTAATAAGGCCTTACTTGGACTCTAATGTGCATGTAACGTTCACTACTTTTTACGGAAACATATCGAAGGCAATGAAAGAGTGCGCATAATTGTACCAGGAGGAGATAATGGTGGATGCACCAACCAATTATTGAGTGTCGATCTTCACTCTACTGTCTATCGGAAATAAATACTCGCTGCAAGTCTAAACCGCTCCATGAAAGACGTTCGGGAATATCTCCAGACCATAGAAATAGTGATGCTAATCACAACGTACGATATCATACATTTATGTATAATAATAGACGTTTTTGTCACACATGCCTGTTCTGTATAGTAGCCTGCATATCATTTAACCAATTATGGGGCTTAAGTATAATAATAAGCCATTGACCAACCAATCGCGCAGTGTTAACAATCGGTAGAATTCCAAGGGAAAACCATATTCACATATACAGGCATATTTTAAGACTAACCCCCTCTTAACTCTTATTAGCGTTGCGAATAGCCGAGGTATTTGCCACCCGTCACATTTGGTATCACACGAAAAACGACGGGAAAGGGAATATAGAAAGTTTATTAGTATAACAAATCCTTGGGCTAAGAACGCACCATGTCAAGTATAAATACGCTGTAACAGCAGCACTTGCCGGCTAAGCCATAACAATTTTCACTCGACTGAGCTTGGGCCTTAGTCGATTACACAAATACCAAATCCTTACATTCTTTTGCGAGAAATATCAATCCGCCTGGTCTTATCGACATATCAAATCCGTAATCTACCAAAGACGTCTCGTTAATCTCCAACAAAAATGACCAAACTTCTTCGCTTAACTTTTGTTGTCTTTGCTGTCATTATGCTTGCAACTGTAATTGTCTCGATACCGCTTCCAGTCAACGAAAGGTGAACGTTATGTCGAGATTAATGTGTCGAGTTATTAATGAAACTCTGTTAGTATCACTACTAATTGTCACCTCGTACTCACCGAACCGTTTTTTTTTATCAATTATCAAGTAATCTGAACAAAAGATTGGCTGCAACCGACGGACCGGATCGTGACGTTGAGCATTGTTCTAAACGAAAGAGATGTCCTCCTCCGCTCTTCGCCCCACCTCAAAAGGGTCATACTAACAATAATGGACAAACTGATGCTGCCTAAAACTTCTCACCTAATTTTCCATGATATTATTGCTGCATGATTTCCGATTGTCTACATGTCAGCTTATCGCATTTATTTTACTTTGTATGATTCAGGTTTTATAATAAATCGATTCATGATCAACTAACTACGTACGCGTGACATGTTTGAGCAATTATGTATACTTTAGCAATAACCATTTAGTAACTCGAATACACAATGCTGTAAGATAATTGAATGCAAAAAAGTTTTCTGATGCCATGTGCTCTCAATGTTTGTTGTACTGTCCCCCCAATCTAAAGACGAAAAAGATAAATGATGAGCATCAAAATTAGTAATAAAATCTAGCCAGTTTTCTATTACCGAAGGGTTGGTTTGGTCCAGTAGCTATGTTCTTTACGTTGTCATTGCACCATCGCCAGTCAAGACAAGTTACTGTTTAAACGTTCTTTAGAATCAATGTTCAAATTTGTGTTTGTACAACTCATTCACGCAACAAGCTGTATTAGAATTTGACGTGTCGAAAATTAGTCAAGCCGATTAACGTTGGCGTTGCTAAAATTAAGATATAAAAAGCAGCGTAAGAGTTTTAGCAAGTTTCGGTGTGTTTGCAGTGTTTGAAAGTTTTTTTTATTTCGGTTCTTTAGTTTCAATAAACGAGCATTGCATTTACAATAATCATGCGCAATTGATATATTCCTGAATCTGTTCGGTATAGCCGTTGAACTATATCGAAAGGTTACTTGCCCCGCGATTATTTCGGTGATAATTAACAAAAGCACAGTAAATTATGTGTTCCTAATAATTGATTTAGACAATCGTAATAATTTCTGCAAAGTGACTCAACGCCTACAGCAAAGTGGAAATTTTACACCACTTTAAAATTAATTGGGGGCAATACTCCAAGCTATACTGATTATCACTAAGAAGGTTATATTTGCAAAATTATTTTTCCTCAATAATTGTCTTTAAGCAACGGAAATACTTCCAAGTAGGATACTAGCGTAGAATCAATACGAAGGAACAACAATAACGGAAACAGTAAAAGTATAACGATACAATAGTTACGAAATAGCACAAGCAAAAAGCAAAATATTAACAACAGGTTGTATTAACAATTCATCACAGTTGCGTCTTTCCTAACCAGAAAGTAAAAGGAAGAAGCTTACAAAGTGTTTCACCGTTTACTATACGAATACATTATTACACTGTCGTCTCAGTATTAATTTATGCTGTCATGTAAAGTTTAATCCGTAATTAGAATATTAATATTCTAAAGCAGAAAATTGTTATTTACTTGTCTATAAAATACAACACATAATTATTATCAATTATATCAAGTGATACACCCAAAAGATTTATTTAATTGACATGTTCTGGGCTTTAGATTTCAGTTGAAACCAAGGATACGTTTGAATATACGCGATTGATCCAAAGTACGTTCAATCAAACACGCGCCATGGTTTTTTCATAATCATGTAAATACACTTCTTGGTGATATCCAAAGGCATGATGCAAACTGTCAATGTACAAGTTGCATTTTACGTTCATAACGTGGGGTTAGAAAACAGACAGCATACTTTTACAATAACGGTAAACGGTACAATTTCCGTTGCAAAATTCTTCGTCTTATTCATGTTGACAAAATTTTTGTATCCCGTTTTAAGACAGGCTTCGTATTCTCAGCTGATCAAGCGAAAATTGCGTTTTTTATTTTTTTTATATACGCCACGTCCAGATTAAGAGTTTTACATAGGAATGCTTTCAAAACAATCAACACATCCAACACTTGGAACAAATAAAAAGACAGTCAACATACAATGTGAGACAAAGAAAACCGGTATTTTTGTATTGTGAATTATCTCCACTAATTCGAGGTCGAGTTAAACAATGTAAAATGTAAACGATTGTCAGGTCAGCAAACATATTTGTTTATAAATATATTTTTCGCTGATACTATTTTCCAAATTCCTTTAACATTCTCCGAGAAGCATCAATTGCAACAATAAATTCTAGTGTGGAATCAGGACATTAGAAATGGTTCATAAACGTCACAGTATTGGTTTATGAGAACATTAAAACCATAGACTTTTCAATTACATATTAATAGTAATAATAGAAAGACATTTAAGCATAGTGGTTATGTCAGTTTACAAACTAAAGATTCTCACTACATTCTCGAGATGGCAAAATAATATGCTGCGGTCTGCATGTACGGAATACGTAATATTAAGGGGAGGTATGAGTCATTATTCCCGCGCGATTTGCCGTACTGCGGAACATAATGAACAACTAGTGCAACAGATAATGGGTCACCAGGTCAGCAGCAAACAATTAATGCATTATAATCTTTGGGATCGACAAAAACTTCATGGGGGGCGTGATCCACACAGTGGAAGAATGATTCTAGCTTTTCAACCCCTTTTGCCGTGCCCCCTCCTCGAGCCATAAAATCCCATAGCTATGCTAACAAAGCAGTCATTCTCCCAAATGAACAGTCCTGAAGATGCAGGTCTCATATCATCCACTTCCCTTACCCTTTCTGAAAGAACTGACGCTCTTGCTGGCATGAATGGTTTGATCTGGCCGAGTAAGTCTGATGTTTTGATCATTTTCGCAGCACGATCGAATCCCCCCCCCCCCGCTTGGTTTATCGCTCACTGGGGTGAATTCCGTTCAGGTGTAGGCGCAAAGCAACGATTAGATGATACCGAAGATCAGAAACGGGAACGAATAAAGAAACTCTCAGATGCGGTTAAAACAATATTCGAGTGTATTGGCGAAGACCCTAATAGAGAGGGTTTGTTAAAGACACCCGAAAGGTATGCCAGGGCTTTGATGTTCTTTTCTAAAGGATACGAAGAAAGTCTTGAAGGTAGCGTATCAGTCAATGCGACTCTGTTAAATTGTCGTGCATCACTTTTATACTGACATGGATCGGTCGTTTGATCTTTGTAGATATCATCAATGGAGCCATTTTCGAAGAAGGTTCCGTATGAAATCATCCTTGTTCTACCAGTCGCATAATTTTAATGCTAAATACTCTACAAATTTCCCCATTCTAGACTGTGACGAAATGGTTATTGTAAAAGATATTGATGTGTTTTCATTATGTGAACATCATATGGTACCTTTTACGGGAAAGGTAAATAACACAACAGTCACCCTGTCGTAATCAATAATCTTGTTATTGACTATATCCATCTATGACTCTATTTAGATTAGCATAGGATACATTCCTAATAGACGAGTACTCGGCCTATCTAAACTTGCACGTATTGCAGAAATGCTTTCGCGAAGATTGCAAATACAAGAACGGCTCACAAAACAGATTGCCGTCACGTTACAAGAGATTCTAAAACCTCAGGGCGTTGCCGTTGTCATGGAAGCTAGGTGAGTGATACTTTCTTCAATGGTAAGTGTAGCTTGTTTGTTTTTGATCGACTTGCCTTTAATGTTTCCCCTTTGTGATTTCCCCTTGTGATTTCCCCTTGTGATTGCTGCAGCCATTTATGCATGGTTATGCGAGGTGTTCAAAAACCAGGTAGCATGACAGTAACCAGTGCTATGCTTGGAGTGTTCCGGGAACAGCAAAAGACCAGAGAGGAATTCTTAACTTTGATAAACCGTTGATACAAAGTGGCCAACCACAGACTATTTGACGATTCCATCGATATTTTCATTGACTAATAAAATAGAAATCTGCATTATAGATACTCACTATTTCCAAGACAATATGATAGAGATGCTTTATTTTAATTAGTTAAATACAAACATTTCAACTTCAATCGGAACTTTTGCATTACAAGTCAATAGGATCGTGAATAGCATCTTCTTAAGGATAATATGTTCATCTTAATTTAATAAACGAGGTTGTCTCTGATGGTAATATCGCATACTTTGTAGGCTTTGAGAGCGTAAATTGGTGGAAATTTCCGCCTCACACAGATGTTCTATAATTTGGTCTTTGTAGTCTGTAACCATGCAAAGTCCTATATAATATACATATATATAACATTAAATAAGAAATCCTCTTTTAATTTCTTCACTTGCTCCCTCCTCGATCGATTTCAAACCCTTTCCACTTACCAGTTTTTTACGTCCGCCAGGCTGAATCATAACATTAATAACTACACACGTATTGTGACTTTCTCTTAAACCTTCCTCAACGGCTTGTCCCAACTCGTCGGGCGTACGCACGAAATAACCACTTCCGCCAACCGCCTCCGCTATAGCGTCGTACCTCACGTCGGGCAATAGAGCAGTTGAAGGAAGGCTGTTGTCAGGGGTGGACTTGTACGTCGCAACGTCCAGGCCATGATATATACCATTGTTGTTAATTATTATAATTAGAATCGGAGTGTTGGCTCGGATAGCCGTTTCAAGTTCCATAGCGCTTAGTAAAGGAAAAAGCGTAAGCAACGCGATAAAAGTAGTAAGGAAATTCGAAAAATCTGGTATAAAAAACAAGCTTACCTGAAACCAAACGCAGAATCTCCTTCAATGGCTACCACGTGTTTGTTCGGATAGCATACTTTTGCTACAATCAGAAACACCCTCTTTCCTTGTTAATAGACATTTTTTCCCACGAGCATCATCATAGACAAAAGGCAAGTTTATTATAAATCGCTTACCAGCTATTGCAAACCCTAAACCAACTCCCATAGTCGCAAGAGTTCCTAATGTCGATTACAAAAAGTCAATTACAACTACGTATTGCTCTCCCCCTGTTCATTACCACTAATTCCCGTGACTTACACTCACCAGCATCCAGTCTACACCTTGGCTCTTGCACATCAAATATAGACCTCGCAATATCCATTGTGTTGGCTCCTTCACTAACAAAAATGACATTTTCAGGCAATCGCTTCTTAATTTCCCAGAACGCCCTATGATAACTCATCGGGTAAGTATCATCCTTGAGCTTTTTCTCAGTAGCGGCAACATTTGCCTTAACCTTCTCGAACCACGGTCCGAGATACGGGGAATCACGGACGTTATGACAGTTAGCGGGAATATGTTCCTTTATCTGACCCACTATCAAGTCTACATTTCCAACCAACGAAACTTCCGCTCGCCGGTTAGCATGATGCTCTTCGGGATGAATGTCGACTTGAATAATTTTCACAGATTCAGAAAACTTTGGCGGTTGTCCGAAATGTAGGATCCAGTTTAACCTGGCACCGAGAAGTAGCACTACATCAGCATCCGATAGAGCTTTAGAACGTGCCGCAGATACGCAAAGTGGATGTGAATCGGGAACGACGCCCTTGCCCATTGGTGTCGGTAAAAACGGTATGTTCGAATGATCTATAAACTCGCGAATTGCATGTTCGGCTCGAGCATATGCAGCTCCTTTCCCGATGATCACAAGAGGCATCTTTGCTTGCGTTAATAATAAAGCGGCTCTTTCAACTGCCCCCAAATCCGCCAAAGACTTTGCCGGATTCGGTACCGGCCCCTTGATAGTCAGTTTTTGGTCGTCAGTTTCCGCTTGAATCAAATCAGCCGGCAAGTCTATATAGACGGGTCCCGGGCGACCGTAGATAGAATAGCGGACGGCGCTATCGATCACGTTCGAAATCTGCAACAAACTCGCCGGTCGAGCGCTGTATTTTGTATGTTGTTTAAGCAAAGCGAGTTGATCCATTTCTTGAAATGCACCCATGCCTTGTTGATACGTGTCTGATGATCCACCGAGAAGAAGAAGCGGCCAGCAGTTGGCGGTGGCGTTTACGACTCCGGGCAAGGCATGCACTACACCTGGACCGGAAACTACGAGACATACCTTGAGGCGGGGAGAGGAATTGTGTATCAGAGAATGCGGATAAAGAAAAAGGGGGGAGAGACGGAGAAAAGGAGCAAGATCAAATAACTTACACCTGGGCGACCGGTTAGATACCCTGTCGAATGATGTCAAAATTAGGAATAATATATTTATTTTTGGTGGTTTACTAGCTAACGATAGAGGTACTACCATGAGCTCCGGCTGCATAACTCGCAGATTGTTCGTTACGAAATCCAATAAATTTAATCCCTTCTGCAATTATCGCCTCGGCAACCTAATTAATGAAAAAGTCTTTGACACATGCCCATGTATGTTCCAAATCATTTTCTTACGCAGTCCTCAGACCTCGACCACGGGAATTCCGACAATGCCAAACACAACTGTCACCCCTTGTGCTTTGAGTGACTTTGCAATGACCTTGGACCCATTCGTCAACATTATTACAACGTCGAAAATGGTTCGAGGTATAAGATCTCGATTATCTAATCATAGTCATGGACCACGTGCCAACTTTAAGAATGATTATGATTATGATTAATCGTTATTGTATTTAGGAGAGCTTATATTCACCATAAAGGTTGAAAATCTCCTCAGACCTGATATCAAGAAGCCTCTCATTAATAAGTTAACATTGTACTGTCATCTACACTGTCCACTTTAGACAGTATCTGTGAAATAAAGACTAACAATACAAGCTCGCGTCCAATATTAAAGTTGTGTCAATCCAAAGGAGGTAACATTACAGACTCAAATTCATTAGTCCTGACAGAAGAGAGAAAAGAAGCCAAGACATGGATTTCCTTGCCCTGGTATCAGCTTTTTTATCAAAATTGTAAGTTGCTGATATAATTCTGTAACAGTGTTAACATTAGTATTAGGTTATATGTCTTGTGTACTGTTAATGCAAATGAATTTTGCAGTGAGTGGGAATTGTGTGAGAGATGCCTTTAGTCTTGTTGGACTACTACAAAGTGCGTACTTGGATGGAAAGCTGAATCATTTCAATGTGTGTTATTCAGATAATTGCTATGGCGTCTTGCTGTACTTGTTCTGTGCTTAAAATCAGTTCAAACGCCGCTGACGACCGCCTAAATCACGAATTTATCATAATGCATTATTTATAATGCCAGTTTCCTTATTTACTATAGAAAATTACACGCTACAAGAATATTCGATTCACAGGAATTAGCCTTCTCTAATAATTCTGTGATGTGACTTTGTGAGAAATGTTAAATAGATGTTAACTTTTCTGGTCAATAACCCGTGACATAAAATAAACATATTTACTAAAAAAACAAACAACGTTGCAATACGAAATGGCTTAATAGACTATTCGTCAACAATAACACCATTTATAGTCAAACGATATAGTAGAAATAATACGAATCTAACTGTGAGCGTCACAACTATAAGTATATGTATTTGGAAGTACAGTATAACGGCTTCATAGTACGAGAATTTGTTACAGGGCTAGTAGAATGACGAAAAGCACCGACTAGATAATATCTATAGAACACAGCTAATTTAAGATACCAACGAGGTTTTGTGATCACGATATCCTATTCCTAACTATTAAGATGTTTGATAAAAAGGCTAAAAGAAAACTTGATATTAACGTTAACGAAACTTGTTACAACGGTTATGGAAATAAGCAATCAATAGAGCAAGCGTTACGCATTAAAAAGTGTCATTTCAAAGCGTACAAACATGGACTAGACTTTTGATTTCCTATTTCTTATTAATAATCTTATTAAATATAACGATAATAACAACTGGTGAAGATACGTAAATTATAAAATTATAAAATTTAAACAAAGGTTATTATTAGTATACACCCATTTACTATTTTTATTATTAGTCAGCGGCGATTGGCAAATATTATCTCAAATAGAATTAAGATCAACCGTTGTGATTGCCATTAATAAAAACTATGGAATTTTACAAAATAAGCAATAATTATTGAACAATGCGTTTATTACACACACATCGTTCATTTAAGAGATCAGAATTATCAAATATAATAAAAATGATGTGAAACTGTCATGTGATTAGTGCTAATAAAACTGGAACTTGGCAAAACAACCAAGTTGTTATTATGGGACACTCGGCTCGTGAAATAATGTTTATTTATAGTCGTTAGTTTTCAGAGGTGTATAGAAATAAATTATACTTACCCATTTCTATTATTTTGCAATAAGCACGGAGCCTGTAGCGGACTCGACATTAACTTATGGAACAAGATGTTATATTTGGAAAGGCTGAATGTGTGTAAGTTTGGAATGGAGATATTTTAAGGACTAAAAATAAACATGGAAAAAGATAAACGATCTACCAACTGTTGTAATGCGGCCTTAAAAATATTAAACATTGATTATGTGCAAAGTCGATGATAGTGTTGCCTGAGAAGAAAGTAACAATTTATCGGTTCTTTTTCGTAACAGCTTAATGGGAGAAATGTAGAAATCTAAAAATACTTGCATTTTTTTAATTGACCTGACCATAATTTGATAAATTTATGTGTGAATATTAATTATGAAAGACGTTTGTTCAGATATAAAAGACGTTCGATTTTGCAGCATCTTTGCTCAAGTTACAACTTTTGAAAAAGATTCAAATTAAACTTTCGCAAAGATGAAGCCACTTTCAATTAAAATTTTTTCGGTTTGCATGTGCCTTATGGTTTTTTTATTCTCTTTTACGACGGCCACAACTGAATTAAAATCTCGGACGCCTGCTACAACAAACCCAGAAACCCCTTCCAGAATTTTAAATTCCAAGTCGTTTCCCATGATTGCAAGGCCACTTTCTAAACCAAATTTTTTCAAACCGAATCCAAGGCCACTTTCCACAACCTCTTCATTGCCTCGAGAAGATTTGCTATTAAATAACAAAATTGAGAAATTCTTAATCTCAATATTCCTGCTACTTAAATTACACCAAAACGATGCGATAGTACTCGGTAAAGAAGGCGCCCCGTTGATTGCTGACTGTATTCTGAGTATGGATGCAAACAGCCCAACAAAATTACGTTTATTCACCAACCCCAAATGTTTCGAAAATTTTACGCAATGGTTTCTGAAATCGAGTCAAAAAGTGGTAGGTGCGTTGGTGTTCGTGGCGATACCCAAGGTCGTACGCATAGGGCTTACGATTCTTTTAAAGTTGATATTCCTATTTGTAAAAATGATAATATTCCCAGGTGGTAGTTCCACACCCTTTGACGTGTTTTCTTCTTAATAGTGATACATAACCTTGATGCTTAACGATTTAGTGTAGCAACAAAAGTAAAGTTGTCACACGCAGTTGTGTCGGTAGTTCGATTTTGTTTTAGTAATTTACACTATATTGCTGTCATTCCTCTGTCTCTTAAATTTTTTTATTCAATTTGAAAAAGCTGGTTTACACCTGTATTTTTTGCCAGAAAATGTCAATGAATAAACTAACTGAATATGATAATTACCAAAACGGGTTATAGCCAATGTTGACTTTTAACTGTTTGCTGTGCTTAATAATCCTGTCTCATTCACAAACATGAGTTGATGAACGACGAGTGTACGCTGGCTTGGTTATTAACACGTAACAAGTTTTTATTATTAAACAGCTGGAACAGCAAATTTGAGAATAATTTATTAACATTTAACTAAGTTTGGAAAAATCGGTAGAGACACTGCACCATACATGACTAAAGGCATTGTTGTAACTGGATTTACTGTAAAAAAAAAGGTTTGTTTGAAAACCATAATCATGTGCGATGAGCTAAATAGTTACTTTGCTTAGACAAGAATAGTATTATCGGGTGTCCCAAACTTTTTTTAACTGTGCAGACAGTACACACATGTCCTTTCTTTGTCACAAATACGGTAATACTAATATTAATGTGGCATTAGTTGTCGTATGACAAGGGTTAAATAATTCCAGCAATAAGTGTCGCGCTTAAGATAATAATAAATATAAGCTCTCTGCATACGGTGAGCTTAGTTTGATAACTAAATCGCGTTTTTTTTACAACAAATTATACACGGTATTGCCTTCAATTGAGCTTGTTTTAGAAAATTTGAATTACGTTGTTTAGAATATTGTAAGAATTAGATCAAAAACACTTGATGATGTTGGACACGTTTGTCAACAATTTTAGAACGTCGAAAATAGTTTGAGGGGTAAGATTACGATTATCTAATCATAGTCATGGACCCTGTAACTGTTGCGATTAGGACAATGACGAATGACACTCTCGGTATTATTTATGGTTTATTTGGAATTTGAAGCGTTGTAGTTGACAGTTCTGCTATTGCGTTTTGACTGTTTGCTGTCGATGGATTGTTTGTTTGAATTGTGAGCCAGTACCCTTAACGCATTGGTTCGGTTATGTTAAATGAGGATTGATGACGATGCCCACAAGCGTGCACTGACATTGCACTAGTTAGGAGAGATGTTTGTGGAATTTATGACACGTGGTTTATATATTTGTAGCTATAATGGAAATGTTATTAGTGATTGTCGATATAAGTAATATTAGAAAGTATTTATAATAGCTTACCAGGACTATTGTAATTGAGCTCTGTTACTGTACCGAATATACAGTATCTATATCGTTGTTTTTTGAGACTTTCTAGTAGCAGTCCACAGAGAGAGTAAAACAGATTAATATGTCCTTTGAAAATTAATTACTTTTGCGAGAATATGTTTCCATTAAATTTGGAAAGCTTCTGTTGTTCCATAATCGAATTTTCTTTGACTTTGATCGTTAAGGGAATTTACGTGTATATGCATTTGAGAGAATATGTGCTATTGGTCTGTAGAGGCCCATTCTTTGATGTGTTCTACGACTAGAGAGATATGTGTTTTCGATGTGCTGCTGTGTATATTTATATCTGATTTCAGTGTGTAATTTTTAGAGGTTAGGCACCCCCGCCAGTTATATAGACGCTAACTTTTCGGGGAAAAAGACAATATAACCTGACAAACATATTGCAATTGATCGTAAACATATTTATTGAAGAGAATAAATACGGTCGCATATTTATTAATAGCTGTAACCCCCCGGATATCCCGTATTACTGTTGGTCTGAATAATTTGATTAGTCCCCCAATTTTACAAAGTACATCGCTTATTACATACAGTATTACTTGCTTAGAAACAAAGCAGCGACATTGCGCAAACAGTCAAATACTGTCATGTACTACTATTCACTAGTATTTTTTTCTATTACGTTCAACAACATCATCAAGACATATTTTCTGACTAAGCGATTCTTCGGCAAACTCCAATTTGATCAAACAAAGTCTCCAGTGAAGGACGGCCTCTCTCGACAAATTCCACGAATCAATTGCTTGAGTATCAGTTTAAGACAAATTTCAGTAGACACAATAAAGTTCCATCTATTCTTCCACGTTTTATAGCATATATTAACATGCATGGTGTATTCTCGGACCAGCTTGTCCTTTGATGTGTCTACGATCACTTCTTAGTAATCCGCAACGTTTTTTTCAGTTTATATGTTCTGTTGTAACTTGCGTTCTCTCTAATCGAATTGCTCAGACCAATAATATTGCGGATAGTGATGGGGTCGCAAAAATTTGATTTTAGGGTATGATCCCTGTGAGTGTATCAGAAGTTTATTATTATTTATTATTATTATAGCCAAACAATATAATAAAAATGATATGAATCTAACTGTGAGCATCAAAGCAATAAATGATATAATGTATACATAGTTGGGAATACAGTATAATACTAAAGGGTCAGTAGATTGACAAAAGCACCGACAAGATAATAGTTGTCTTGTCTGTAGATAGTCAAAGAACTCTGCTAAAATTAAGACAGCAAAACAATGATAAACATGCAAAGTTTACTAACACTCGGATCATCAATCCTACTTTTTTTCTCTTTTAGAAAAAATGCATTACGATTTTCCATTTTTCTTATTGAGGTGTTCGATAAAAACAATAAAGATTGGCAGAGTAAACTTGACGCTAGTGAAACCTGTTATAACAGTTACGGGAATAAGCAATAGTTATGGTGCACGTGCGTTTATTACACTACTTGTGAAACAGTGTTTATTTTCAAAGATGTATTAGACTTGCGATTTCCTATTCCTTATTAGTAGCCTCAAATACAATAACAAATAATGAAGATCACCGAAATGTTATAGATTTGAACAATGGTATCATACAAGCGACGGTGATGGTAGGTACCCAAGTCGTAAAATAGGTGCTTATTAATGTTCACGTTTGTTTTTCATTTGTCTATTAATCAGCAGCGATTGGCAAAACTTATTTCAAATATAATTAAGATCAGATACGGTAAAAACGGTTTTGTGATTGCCATTAATAAAGCCACAGAAGTTTTGCAAAAAATAAGCGGTAGTCATTGTACAGATGCGTTTATAGCGCTCAATCATTTGTTTATAAAAGAGGGTAGAATTGTAATTTTCTGTTCCTTATTAATAATATCAAATATTACGTAAAACCATTGGCACCAATAAAATTAATTATAATAATTATACAAGAGGTATTTATTATTATGGGACACTCTACTGTGAAATAGCGTTTATTTATAGTCGTTCGTTTTCAATGGTGTGTAAAATAGATTATAATTACTTATTTCCTATCCTATTATTTTGCAATAGGCACGGAGCTTGTAGCAAACTTGGTATTGATTACCGGTACATGACGTTATGTTTATAAGGGTTGAATGTGTGTATTTTTGGATGAGTATTTTTAAATATAAAAATAAACATGAAAAAAAGTACACAACCTGCCAATTGCCGTAATGCGGCCTTGGAAATACTAGGCGTTAATTATATGCAATATTTAAGATATTGTTACCCTGAGAAGAAAATAATAATTATCGGTTCTTTTTTGTAACAACTGAATGAGAAAAATGTAGAAATCTAAAATTACTTGGCATTTGTTTTAATTGACCTGACCATAATTCGATGAATTTATGTGTGAATATTTCATACAATTGACTATAGAAGACGCTTACTCAGATATAAAGACATTGGATTCTGTAGCATTCTTGCTCAAGTTGCAGACAACTTGTTGAAAACGATTCAAATTAAACTTTCGCAAAAAAAAATGAAATCACACTCAATTAAAATCTTTTTGGTTTGCATGTGCCTCATGGTACTTCTATTCTCTTTTACAACGGGGACGCCTGCTTCAACCACAGCGCCATCAGATACAAATCCAACGTCATCTTTACCTACCACACCATCACCTTCGACGTTATCTTCCACGTTACCTCCCACAACCCCTTTATCCGCTCAAGACGCATGTTTTAAATTTGATCTTATCTTCAACAAATGCCTCCTCCATCTTGGGTTGAAGAAAATTGAGTTGATAAAACTCTGTAGAGAAGGTCATGTGTTGATTAAGCGTTGTGTGCTGAGTACGACTGGTGACGATCCAACAAAATTACCCCTTTTCGATAAAAGATGTTCCGACGAACTTATGGAATGGATTAAACGCGTGATACTCGTGTTAATAGCCTTGATAATCGCAATTATAACAATAATACTTAAGATTTGTTTTAAGTGTGTAAGAAATGGTGGTATCAAAATAGGAGATGGCGCGATTTCTCTTCTAAAATAATTGGTTCTCCTCAGTCAGTCATTTTTTTATCATCCTGTTACGCATGCGGTAGATTCGATATTAGAATTTTTGTTTTAGCAATTTACACTATTTAGCTGCCCATTACTCTGCCTCTTCATTATTTTATACAATTTGAAACAAAAATATAAAAATCAACAAGCATGTTTCGCAATTTGTACTTTTCGGCAGATAATATCAATGAATAAACTAACTGAATATGACAATAACCACAGTTGTTATGGCCAGTTTTAATTGCCTAACAGTTTACTATTTTAATAGTTTGAAAGTGTTTAAACACTTTCCTTATTTACCAACATGCTGACCTCAATATATTTGAGGCAAATTATAATTAATCAAACGCCACCGACAATAATAATAGGAATAGAAATTGTAATTTACAAACACGAGTTGACGAACGAACGAGTGCAACGCCGGCTTGTTTATAATCAACTTATTGAACAATTAAAACAGCAGATTTGATAACAATTTATCCTCATGATAACAATTAGATAAATTGGTAGGGACGTTTTACCATGCATAATTTGGGCGGGGCTAAAAACTTCATTGTAATTAGATTTTTACAGTAAAAAAGTGGTGTTTATTTGAAAAACATAATTATGTGCTATAACATAGTTGCTTCACTTACCTAAACTTCTGTCGTAAACAGTACACACATTTCCTTTCGTCATACATCGATGTGCCATACTTTATTTGATTTCTAAAACGCGCGTTTTGTTTACGGCAAAAAAAAAAAGAGATAAATAAAAGCAACAAATTATATGTGGTGTTGCCTTTAATTGAGCTTGTCTGTAGAGATTTGAATTACGTTGTTTAGAATCTTGCTAAGAATTAGATCAAAACACTTGATGTATTCTTACTTATTCAGGTTACTTCTTACATTAATAAAAACGCACCAACTCACTTAATATGCATTTTAGAAAATGTGTATGTAAAAGACTCGTAATTTTCTATTTACGATATAGCTCTCGAACAAATGCTATTCTCCTCTGAAGTCAATGTTTGAATAAAAAACTTTGCTACATAACAGTAGACAATTTTTTCCTGTAAGTTACATGTTGCAATTGTCATTTGGAGACAAGACATTTATTTCTCAAAAAGTTTGCATTTAATTGTAGAGACTAAATACTCATATGTCCACTATTTTTCTACTTTACGCTACTACAAAAAAGCGTCTCTTTCTTGTTACTTAAAGTTGTATTGATGCATGCGTATGATAAGCCACGCTTTTCTTATTGACCAAGGTTAGGCACTGGTAGTGTTGGCGCCTGATGTTTTAAAACTAAAGATTGATCAAAACTCATAAATACTTTATTGACAAAATGAATTGTCAACGAAAATTCTCGTATTCCGCCTACTACTGAATCGCGTAGTGAAGTAGACATTAGATTACAAAGACAATATCTTGTTAAAGCCGCACTATCTGAGGATGCAAGTTACATGGTAAAATTAACACAAAATATGCTTATAAGAATCTCAACATAAAGGTGTGACAGTTGTAAATATTACTGGTTTTTCATTAAGTTTGAAAGACTAGAAGTTTCAACGATTAAGATATAGAACAATAAACCATTAAAATATCTATACAATTATAGCGTCTAGATCTTGCTTGTCAGTGGGTTTTCGTGCGTGTCTAGTGACAGCGTAATTCACGAAAACCGAGTATATTGATATATTATCGTTAGCAGCAAATAATATTTTTGAATGAGCTATTTATAAACTTTATTTCTCAAAAAACTTATTATGGACTGATACGTTGTTACACTTAACGTAAATAATAATAAGAATAATGATGTCTTTGATCTACGTGATATGGCCTCGATATTAATAGCATATCAATGCGTCTACGAAAGACTGGCATTACCACGCAAGAATTGCAAAATCCACGATATTTCGCGCGCAAATCTTACCTTTCACGCCCAGCCAATAATAAAGCGAATTATCTATTTTTTCCATATTTGTTGGTCTCACTCAAAAATTCACTTGCGTTTTCAATTCCTTCCCTCACATTCTTCCTTTAAAGCATGCTCTCTCTCCGTTCATCTACAATAACAAAAACTCTTCATAAATATAGTCCCCGATCCGGTCTCTATAGATTTGCATCCACTTGGGCGAACGTAGAACAAGGTCCGCCAGACGCTATTCTCGGAATTACTGAGGCATATAAGAAGGATACTGACCCAAAGAAGATTAACCTTGGTGTTGGCGCTTACAGGGACGACAATGGGAAGCCGTACGTGTTGAATGCTGTTAGGAAGGTTTGTCAATACAACAAATGCTAAGGTTTACTAATTTTGATCGGTTGAAAAAAAAAAATTTTTTTTGATGCATCTAAATTAATTGCCCTGTTCCTGAATTGCATTGAATATTGAATAGGCTGAACAAAAATTATTAAATGATAAACTAGACAAAGAATATCTTCCGATTACGGGTCTAGCTTCTTTCACCAAGGAAGCAGGAAAACTAGCATTTGGTGCCGATTTCATATCATCTAACGGAGGAAATGTGAGTTTTTATCAGTTGAACCGCAAATATCAGCAATTTTTGTATAGCATCAATTCCATTCCTTGGCGCACTATTTTTAGAAAAGGGTTCTTCGTTTCAAAATTTACGTTCAAGATTCCAATCCCATCTCATTGCTAACCAACCAAGTTTCTCTTCTCTTCTATTCAACACACGAAAGATTGTGATTAGTCAATCGATATCAGGGACAGGCGCTCTCCGCATTGGAGGCAGTTTTCTTGGCAGGTTCTATCCACACGCAAAGACCATTTATGTTCCAACACCAACATGGGGCAATCATAAGGCAGTGTTTTCCGACTCTGGTTTGGGTGTGGCACAGTATAGGTATTTTGACAAGAACACCAATGGGTTAGATTTTAATGGGATGAAAGAGGATATTTTGGTAAGAATTTTGCGAGAATGGCAGCATGCGAGATGATGATTTCGGTGTTGTGGTGTTGTGGTGTTGGAGAGCAACATTGAGCGCAGGCGAGTTTAAAAATGAGTTTGTGAACAGAGACGCTAACTAGATTTTTTGTCTTAATGTTTTTGTAGAACGCACCAAAGAATTCAATCATTCTTCTTCACGCATGCGCGCATAATCCAACCGGTGTTGACCCAACTCCTGCACAATGGGACGACTTATCGGAACTTCTCAAGGTATCGTTTTCGCGATCAATTCGCATCATTTACACTTTTACTCTTTACGCTCAATCATTCTTTATTTCAACGCACGTATCTGACTTTTTTTTTTTTTACGTAAAATCCGCCTACTACCATAAAGGAACGTTCTCACTTTGCTTTCTTTGACATGGCATACCAAGGTTTTGCATCAGGAGATATCGACAAAGACGCCTACGCGGTTCGCAAATTTGCTTCCGACGGACATCAAGTCATCCTATGCCAATCATTTGCAAAGAACATGGGTCTGTATGGAGAACGTGCAGGAGCGTTTTCGCTTATCACTAGCAATCCAAAGGAGAAAGCGGCTGTCGAGTCGCAAATTAAAATCTTGATTAGGCCAATGTATTCTAACCCGCCAGTTAACGGGGCGAGAATCGCTAGTTTGGTATTGAGTGATCCTGCATTGAGAAGCGAGTGGTAAGTAACAAGCGACGCGCAGAGAGAGAGATAGATAGATAGATAGATAGATAGATAGATAGATAGATATGGCGAGATGGAAATTGAAACGAGTGATCTTGGCAAGGAGTGGAAATAACCGATTTCGTATGAATGATTACTATAGGCTATCAGAAGTCAAGGACATGGCGAATCGTATTATCACAATGCGTGAAAAACTTCAAAACCACCTTGTAAACGATTTTCAATCCAAAAAGTCTTGGAATCATATCACTGATCAGATTGGAATGTTTTGCTTTACTGGACTTGCACCCGATCAGGTAACAATTGCTCCACAGAATACGTTCAAGGTGTATCGTCTGTATAAGACGATTTTCGAGGCACTTACTTATGCGTTTCATATGGCTCGTAATTCCAGGCCGAGCGTTTGACAAGGGATTTCCACGTGTATTTAACAAAGGATGGAAGAATTTCGATGGCTGGTGTCACATCTCATAACGTAAAATACCTTGCCGAAGCAATTCACGAAGTTACCAAATAGACTATAAAGTTACCTATGCCAAAAGCAACTTTTAGTAAACAAGTGAATAAAAAGTACATCAAAAATGCACAATTGGATATCAAGAAAATTATTTTATATCCTTCACTGTTTAGTAACCAACCCAGTTATATAGAATATTACACAAAATAATAATAATTACAAATACATAATATTTATATCACTTTACTTTCTCCAATTTTACTTCTTTACAGCTGGGTACAAAGTACCTCTATCTGATTAAAACTCATGCAGACAAAGTCTTACAAAAAATATTAACTGCATTGACATGATAACAAATATTTAAATAGTAAGTGAATTGACTTAAATGTTGACTAACAAATTTAATCAGTTACTACTACTACTACTACTACTACTACTACTACTACTACTACTACTACTACTACTACTACTACTACTGATCTGCAGGAAGAATTCTTCGCGAGCGCGTGATGTTCGATACGTGCTTTAAGTGGTAAGATAATAAATCTGCAAATTGGTCAAAAGAGCCATGGCATCTGGGCCATCTTTTTTTATATATTCTCTGATATCACCCCGACAGTTCATTTGCCCGACAAATATTTACCAGCATTATTTCAAAGTTATCCTTTTGGGGGTAGTTTTTTGTCGGGCAAATGAATGATTTTTTGAAAAAATTGGTTACTGCGTCTATGTCAAGGTATGAGATTATTCGTTCCGGTATTTTGTCGTAGTCATGTGCTTACTGCGCCTGTGACGCGTCAAGTATAAACAGGGCTGAGTTGGTCGGGCGCAGATCGCGACTCTTCTTTTACCATTCTCATTCACCATCATACAACAACTAGACATGGACGTGGACCACTCACTGGGATTCGGTCGCTTTTGCGGGAAATATTGTCAAGACTTCCCAACAGCTACTGAGGAGGAGCTCGAAGGTGCATAAGGACTTCTGCATTCAATACCATCAGGACAACCCCGAAGCAACGACGGACTGCTATGAAAACTTTCTTAAAACGCAGGGTAAACAAGGTACGGCAACACGTTCATTGGGAAGATAGAGGAGCAGCGGGGAGAAGAGTTTGAATACTGTTACTGGTTTGTGCTATATTGCAAGAGAGAGAAGCAGTTGGACGTTATTAGTTGGGGCAGAGGCGTTACAAATGCGCATTGGGAGGAGTATAGAGTACTAACTTCTTCTACTTGTTTGTAATTTTCTTTTGCCCCCTCATTTTACATGAGGTGAGGGAACTTCGTCGCGACATATTCACGCAACAACACCCTGTCCCAGTACCAGTACCAACAACAACAACAACAACACCAGCACCGGCTACCGACGACGATGACAACGCCGCCAACACCGAAAACTTTCTATTGCCCGGTTTACCGAACAAAAAAAAAACATCAATAGATTCTACTCGTAAAATATTCTATTACATTACAAGTATTGTAGCTTAGTAAATGGCAGAGCTGAATCATAGCAGAATTAGGTTATATGGAGAGAACAGTTGGTACATGCACTGGGTTGGGTTCATAGAGCAAAGTGTAACAGGGTTAAGTCATATGTAAACTCGTTTCAAAGGTGAACTGGAGAGGACAAGAGACATCATGGGTTAATAGAGGAGCAATGGGGAGAGAATAGTTTGAATGCTGTTGTCTGTCGTGTTAACCAATCACGGGAGAGCGGATGATGATCAACACGGTTTGAGATTCAGCTTAGGCCTTCGAAAGTGCGTGGCTCACCTCGTGCGTTCAGCTGAAAA